GAAGTGCGGGGTAATATGAGCTGGAGGTTGGCAGATGAACGATATATGTTGAATTAACTTGTAGGCTCCAAATTGAGAAGATACACGATTTGATTGGCGGCAGAATTCTCAAGGAAATCCTTCGGAGATAGTATAAATACGTGGTGTAGTTCATTCAAGAAGTTCATACTGCTAAGGTAGACGTTTATTCAACAATCGAGGAAATAAAACTAAGGCCACCGTTACATTGTGTCTTTAGTCGCTCTAAGATTACAAATCTCTACCTGTTATCTACTTCTTAGTACAGTGACAAAATTATTCCATCTGCTGACAAACAGTGAAGAATCTTAATGCTAAACAACCTCTGGCTCCAACCCTACATGATAAGCGTAGGCCACGTCCATGAGAAATGGTTTACGGACAGAGTACTAATTGACGTAGAGTACAACATGGGCTTTGAACTCGTATATACATGCACATATTTACCTAGCTAAGACATGACCCAAACAGTTTTGGTTTCTATTTTAAAAACGCGTTCGTTCCTTCACAGACGTTCGTAGTTCTAAAAGCTACTAGGTGCCATGTAGAAATGTGGCTCTGATCAGTTTAAAATATGAAGAAAAAACACGAGACAAGCGAATTGTTTTATCTCGTTCGATGTTGTATTTCTACTTGTCTGAAAATATTGCTCTGCTGTGTACACGGAAAACTTAAACAAGCACTCATGTATGGTTGAACCACAGTCCTGTTGTACTGGCGATCACAAAAACAGAAGACCGTTGATTTCGGAATAGGTCGGGTGAGGCTGAATATTACGTTACCATTTTTGAAATCATTCGCTCCATCGCACGGCCTGGTATGACGTTATGCTTCAACCTCCCACATGACCCTCTGGAGGAAGGGGCACTCTCTGAAAACATCGACTCCCCCTCCGAAACAGGCCGTGATGCTCCCTATTCTAATTTTTAAAATAAGGCTATATGGTGCTCAAAGTTTAATTGGTAGTTAGGTTGATACTAAAAGTTAGCACTTAATGTACAATCACCTCTCCGAAACATATATGTGTGTGTCAATACAGTGTTTTTGTGCCTGTTGAAGCGGGAATATCATGCTATAAGAGTATAGCTTACGATTAGATGCATCATAGATGGCTCGGTATGTACAATATAAACAGCCTCTTATTAGCGAAAGTATACTTCAGGTATCGTAATTAAACTACTGTATAACAAAATTTCAAATACACATGTAGTGCATGTACATGTAATACATATTGTGAGAGACTACAAGAGGAGATGTTTTTCTATATACCTTTATAACATCTTACGCCGTCAGCCCGAGAGTGATTTAAGACGTGTTCTCGAATCTATATATGTGTAGGTGGGTCGGCCCGAGAGGACGTATGAGTAATTTGATATTTCTTTTCAGATTGTTCTATTTATAGGACACGGGCCACCGGCTAGCCGAGAGCCGAGGCCCGAAAGTCCGGGACTGAGAGTACATAACAGAGAAAGTGATATATTTATTTCTAGAAAATATCTACTAAAGTGTTCTGCATAAGGTTTCTCATACTGATCATACGAGGTTTTACCCTTGACACCCAAGTGGTTGAACACTAGTACAAACACCATCAGTATATAACTGAAGGCTAGATCATAAATAAATTCATTCGAACGCAGCACTCTTTAGATACATTTGCGCTTTACTTAGTCTACTATATTGCCATCTAACATATTGATGAATAGATTGAAAGTACTGCTCTTAACTAGCATTTTCGATGCCTCATTCGAATATATTGTATTAATATCATATCAAGCTATATGTTTCCGTTGCGGTGTTGGACACTACTATCATTATAACTACTGAACAATACATTTTTAAATACACATGTAATGCATGGACATAGATTGAACATTGATGGAGTGTAAATTGAAAGTAGTGCTTTAAATTCACATATTCAATGTCTGATTCGAATATATTGTACTAATATCATGTTACGCTATACATAGTCGTTGCAGCGTTAAACACTGCCACCATACTAACTGCTATATAATAGATTTTTTGATACACGTGAAATGCATGTACATGTATAGAATATTGATAAAGTTTAAGTAGATTTCGTTAACACATGATAAATAAGTATTGATGTTGCAAACACATTTGTCTCCTATTGTCCTTCAGACTCGTCAACATCCAACTCCGCCAGAGCTACAGCCGCGCCTTCTGCAGTAAGAAGGCGTACGTCGTTATTGACCTCTATAGCTTTGAGGAGTAAAGCTTTACACTGCGATTTTGATAACGTCTTATCAACTGTGATTTCAAGAAACTTAACCAATTCTCGCAGATGCTTTACATTCGTGTCTAATACATACGCCCATGGCCCTAGCTTCCTTACCATAACAAATTTTATGCGCATCATTGGCACTGAAATGATACTGATACAGTTCATTTTCTATAACTCAGTTTGTAGTGAGGGTCCCGTGAAAAAGCTGAGATCTGTCCAATTACTCGACATGTCATCCTCCTCGAATTCATCTGCCATAACTTCACTTGATTGTGTGTGATTTGTGTTCTTCACTTAGAGCCCAATTTTGACTTCTTCATAGATTCCTTTGTAGCGTAAAACTTGACTATAATGTTAGTGTCTGTTTGTCAGTGGTTGTATAAATAATGGTTCATACAAGTCATTCTCGCGATCTCTTTTACAGTGGCGTGTGATCAGAAATGGCGCGGTCTCAAGTTGCAGGCGTGATCTCAATTCAACAAATCCTTTAAGCATATACACTCACGCTGATTGCACTTTCAACTTGCAACAAATATGTAGTCATTGATTTCCCTATCTGTACACAGAATATCGAGTATCTGCGAACTTACAACGCTGACTACATGCACTGTCAGACTAGGTAAAAATCACCATGCGTTACACAATGTTTTCAGCACTACATTTATCTTCCGCCGGTAAATCTTGGTCCACACTTAGACAGTCAGTGCAATCTCGACACCATGTATTTTTACGTGATGTTCGTTTCAATAACTTGTCGCATAATTTTTTTTGGGCATAGAATCCTGCAATGTGCACGAGCACAGAATCCTGCAATGTGCACGGGCACAGAATCCTGCAATGTGCACGGGCACAGAATCCTGCAATGTGCACGGGCACAGAATCCTGCAATGTGCACGGGCACAGAATCCTGCAATGTGCACGGGCACAGAATCCTGCAATGTGTACCTGCACTGACTGAGAACAAGGTTCTATTTCAGTGTAAGACATTGTATGGAATGCTGTCGATGAATTGTGTTCCGTATTGACTAAGTGTTGTGTCGGTTACGTTTTCATTCGTTCACAACCCCCTTGCGTATTATCTGAAGCCAGGTATGATTACACAACTACCAAATTGCTTTCATATCCAGTGTCACAGGTGTCATGTCAACATCTTGTTCGCCACGTTTATGACTCCGGGCACCGCCGAATTGTAATTCCACTTGATCATTGCAAGCATCTCCTGGAATTGAATAGTCCATATGGAGATCAGTCGTATCGTACCGCACCATATTATTGGTTATACTTTTGCAGGCATGAGTGCACATCATGAAAGTATCTAATGTGAGTCCCTTCGCTTGGTTAGTTGTCAATCTGCGTGTATATCTCGCTACTTCGCTGCTCGTACGTGCTACTGCGGCACCTCGCCATATTTGTAGCCAACAAACGGGGCATCACTGTCGTCAGTATGTTGAGTTTAGGATAGTCTGTGCTCGCATAAGGCTCAGACACAGGATCTCGATGTCTATCTCTCTTTCCCTTACTTTTTATTTTCATAGGATTCCAGAAAAACTCTCTTACATCATTAAGAAAGTTTTCGATGCCAGATATCGTGTGCCGGAGTATGCTGTCTGTTTCAGATGTCGTGTGTCGGAGTATGCTGTCTGTTTCTCAATGCGTTTTCATTGGGTCGGCACACTCTTCTCCTGGAATCCATACTCCATTGTTCAGAGCTAGAGCGGCTTGCACTGGATCTGAAAGGATAAGTAGAGC